ATTTGGGGGTGCCGGGCTAAGCAGGAAAGTGTCCGTTCCTTTCCAAAGGCCTGGCTGAATAAAATAAGCGAGCTTCCGTGCCTCCAGCACCTGCAGGGCGCGGTGCTGTGCGTCTCTGCCCCGAAGCCTGTGCGACAGCTGGGTGCCTGCAGATCACCTAGAGTTCTCCTTCCTCTCCGTCCCCCAGGAAGCACCAGAACAAACCCTTCTTTCAGATAAGAGGATTTTACAGAGCTTTTGAAACAGGAGGTGGCTGGGCATATAGCCAAATAGAGATCTGGGAGAAAGGTAGACTGGGCAGGTGAGCTGGGAGACCCGCCAAGACAGGGAAAGGTTCCCCCAGAGGAAAGGAAAGCGGTGGTTTCAGGTGGCGGTTTCTGACTTGTCTCCACCTTCTTTGTCAGACACCGAAGAGTAAAGCTCGATCCCCCCAGATCTCAGAGGGAGGAGTCAGGCCTGAGAGAGCACGGGCGGCAAAAGGTACTGTGCACGGGCCAGGGGGCGCTATCCCTGCATCCATGCTACCCCAGCAGACAGTCCGACACAAACAACTGGAGGAATCAAAGTCTTCTATTCACTAGACATGGCCTCTTCGTTGATTCCCTCCTAGCTCTCAAAAACATGTCAAGGAACAGACACGAAGGGTGGCTGCATCATGAGCGGGGCAGAACTGTGTGTGCAGCGCGCGCGCACGTACTCTCACCGAAGGGCACTCTGCCGCCCAACTGCCTTTCCCACCTTCCAATTTTGTCTCATCTTAAAAAAGTTTCCTTAATGATTAAAATACACCAAAGAGTACACATGATTCTGCAGACAGGGAAACCTTATGGATTAACAAGCATGGGAAGACACGGCTACTCTACCTCAACAGAAAATGGGGAAATGCAAAACAAAGCAATGAGCTACCACACCCTACCCATTTGGTTGCAAAACGTTAGCACGTCTGATGATACTAATAAATGCTGGATAAGATGGGAGGGTCTGAGAACCCACAGGCACTGCTGATGGGAGGGTAAACTAGTATACACTCAAGGAAATGACATATGTGCACCCTGGGACCAGAAATCCCACTCTGAGGTGTCTACCCAGGAAGCTATTGCACAGGTCCTCAGGAACACACGTCCAAGAACGCAGAAAGGAGCCAAGTGTATAGACAGGGAGAGAAACAATGAAGAGATGTCCACTGAAAGGGAATTCAGACAACGTAGAACTATGTCATGAATGATAAAGACATAATAAATAGTCTGTACATTCATGTGTATACATACACACACATACATAGACTTCTTTGCACATTCACATATATATTTAAATGAGCTCACACCAAACATGTGTTTTATAGCCTGTTCCAGTCAATAATATATAATATTGTAAAAACATCATTATTAATAGCTACACAGTATTCCACTAAGAGGATTACCACAATTTCTTTAACCAATGCCCAATTGTTGGATACTTTGGTTATTTAAACCTTTTTGTCATCAAATACAATTACTCTGAATTTCATTGCCCATGCATCTTTGCTTCCTCCTCTAATTAATAAAATGAGAAGCAAAGAACATGTATCACAGTGAAAAATGTGTGTGCCTTAGGAACGGAATTGCTTGGTTAAAGATGTACATGGATAATTTTCACTACAACACACATTCTTTGCTTCTAATTTTAAGAGTTTCCTTGGATCCACATTTTTTTCTGTTGTCTGGCAAAGTATTCCTTCAGGGAAAACAGACCAACGGGCTAGGATTGCCACTTAATATGCAACAATACAATACTCTTCCTCCCGTTTCCATATTGTTAAAAGAAAAAATGAAGGGCCACCATTCAGGCAAATTCCTACCTCACAGGTTTCTGGCATCAGCCAGGCACCCAGTCACAGTGGACATTTTAAGAAGCAGCAGCAGTGTGAACTACTTGGAAGTTCAACGTTCATTTGCTAAAATATCTTTATTAGATGAGAGCTTGTGCCTGGAGCCACAGTAGGTGTTCGAGACACAAATGAGTGTGGCCCAGCCCTGCTCTTGGGAGCACTCAGCCTCCTACGGCAAAGAGTCATGTTCAGTAACTCTGTTGACGCCACGCAGGAAAGTCAAAACTGCAGTGCGCTCTGGGGGCACTGGGCAGCCCGGCCAGGCAGGCTTCTCACGAAAGGCAACGCAGGAGGGCAAACAGCAAGGGGCTGGCAGTGCGGTCTTGGTGACAAACGGAGCTTCAGGCAGAGGGTCAGAGCGGGGCAGGACACGCAGGCCGAAGCCCACAGGACAACGGTGAGAGCCCCCGGAAGCCCGGGAGGGCTGGGGCAGCAGACAGAGCCGAGACAGGGCTCAAAGGGAGGCAGGGCCTTGGTCAGGAAGAGCCACCTTGCCCACACGCTAAGAAGAGGGGGGCGGGGGGAGCAGGGACAAGGCTGGTGGCAGAAACACCAGCCGGAAGGTCATTTCTGTGGTTCAGAGACCAAGCAGGGATTCAGGGCGGGCAGAACGCTGGCAGGTGGAGAAGCTTCCGTGGGTGAAGGGGTTGTGGGCACGGGGGAGGTAGCCTCAGGGAGAGTGGGCGGAGAATGGCCAGGAATGGTAACTGGAGAGAGAACAGGTGAGGAGGCTGCCCAGCCAGTGCAGCAGGCCTTTGGGACCCTGACGGACTGAGCCTCAGAGGACCGTGGAAAGGGGAAAGGTCACAGAACAGACCCCCGAGCAGCGTGATGGGGCCTCGGCACTGCCTCGGCCATAGACTTGTAGAGCACTCCAGAATCGAACAGAGGACTCACACCACGCCCTCGGACACAACTTTCTCCTTTGCCAAGGAGCACATGGGCACTGTATACCATCTGGGCCCTTCCCAGCTATAAATGCCCTAAGTTCCTGTCTACATCAGCAACCAGGGTGGCAGCTGTCCTCCTGGAAACCCACCCCAACAAGACCCATCCGCCCAGGGAGAGGAGACAAATCACGCCCATAACTGGCTTCTCTGTGAAGCCAGAACCGTCTCCCAACACTCTGCATCCAAGCCAGGGAGGACCCATCCCTGCCAGGCCTGGGTGCTGCTCTTCCACTCAGACACGTGGCTCGGCGCCCTCCCATCTGGCCGCATGCTGCTTGCTTTTCCCCCACTCCTGGATAATAAAGAGCGGGCTGGCAAAATAGTTCAAATACCTTCTTTAAAAGCACATGGCCTTATGGGCTCGGCGGCCTACTTTGAGCTAAATGTTTCAAACCTGCAGGCTCATAGTTGCTCTAGGCATCGCCGTTCACTCCAACTGAACAATCAGGGAGTCAGCAAAGGATAATGGAGTGCCTGCTGAATGCCAAGCCAGCGAGGGGGAGGGAGAGTCTGGGATGGACTGGTGACTCCAGCCCTTCAGGGCTGTCTCTGAGTATGGGAGCCGGGCACTAAACCCAGCATGAGAAGGGCTGGGTGACGGATGAACAGGGCGAGGGCGGCAAGAGGCCGCGGCCTCACCCAGATGCCCAGGAAAGCTACACAGGGGGAGAAGCATGGTGGCTGCATGCAGCCTTGGCAGGTTCATTAACGCAGCAACGGCCCGACCCAGGGGCAGGAAAGCACAAGCCAGCACTGTGGAGCGTGAGAAAAGAACCAAGTGACAGAGAGAAGGCACTGAAGGGCTGACGGCCGCAAGGTGCACTGGCGTCAGCTTATAAGGGCCCTGAATGCCATGTCTAGGTAACAGCTACAGGGAGCCACTGAGGTTTGCAAACAGAGAGGCGGGGCAGTGGGGAGGCTGGGGTGAAGAGGGGGACCCCTCAATCCCCACACGAAGGGGACCAGCAAAGATGGCCAGGATCCCAATTCTCTCTTCTCCATTTTCTTACGTCCACTGGCATTTAATCCTACAGACCCACAAGGAAGCACTTTGGTTCAAAGTCACACAGCAACAACAGTAAACCTGTGGAAAACGCCTCACCCTGCCCTTCCAGGTCTGGTTTCTGCTCCTGCCGCTGAAAATGCTTCCCTGGGGAGAGCAAGCCCCTGGCCCCAAAGCTCTAACAGCTGATCAAACACCAGAGCACACTGTGTACACTTGGAAGGGGAGGGAATGGGCAGTGAGTGACCCCCCCCCACACACACACGCACACACTCCACCTGGCAGCCCGCCAACAGGACACATCTGGTTCATCTCCCACAAAGACAGGGTTTCCCGGCGTGAGGACCCCCCTGCAGCCCCTGCAGCCCTTCCCATCTCACTACTCCCGGGACCCAGCACCCTTCCCAATTTCCCAGACGCTTTTTCTACGATCTTGAGCACCTACAGAAGCCTCTCCAACATCCCTTATGCCGGTGGAATTTGCAGTGGGCCAGCTCAGACAGGCAGGAGCACCCCAGAGTTATCTGTCCCCCATGAACAGAAAGTTTGGAGGCCACCAAGAGTCCCCAAGCATCCTGAAGCTTGGCTCCAATCCTGGGTGCAAAGCACACCTGCAACGTGGGTCCCGTGGACATCCCCACAGGCTAGACACTGCTTCTTTCGGGAGCACAAGGAAGGGAAAGAAAAAAGGCAGGGAGGGGGTGGGGAACCTCAGATCGAGGGAGGGAGGGGAGCAAGGTGAAAAAGGTTGAGTCGGGCAGACCTGCGTTCAAATTCTACCTCCATCTCTGAGTTTACTTGGATAAGCCAACATGCCCTGCGGGAAGTATTTTCCTCAGCTGCGAAATGGGTTTAAAAGTAAATTCCATGTAAGGTTATAAAAATTCAGAGCACTATCGTTAGTGTGAAGGATCAACAGAGTTCAAGGGAGACCAATATTTATTTTTTATCTATCTAGTTAAAAGAGGAGAAAATTCCTAAAACGTTACCAGGAAAACCCGGCGAGTGTACCACCGCAGGGCAACGGGAGCGGGGGTACACGGAGCACACCAAGGCAGCTGGGTGGCACCGAGCGGGGCAGTCATAGCTTCTGTGCGCGAAGGTGGCGCGGGCGCGCGGTGACAGCCAGCAGGAGCTGCAGGTGGACCTGCGGGGGAAGAAATGAGGCGGCTGGACCCACCTGAAGACGCGCAGCAGCAGGCAGGCGATGAGGAAGGCGGTGAAGGCGCACGCCACGATCACTGCCGCCTTCAGGGTGGGCAGGTCGCGGAGCAGGCTGGAGATGCGGGTCACCAAAGCGTCGCCGCTGCTATTGGAGTTACCGCCGCCTGCCAGCGCCTCCTCCTCAGACCCGGTCCGGGTGGCGTTCACAGGCCCCAAGCCCGGCGGCCGATGCTCTGGCTGCGGCGCCGCTGCGGACTGGGCACGGCTGGCGCGGGCGGCGGGCGCGGCCAGGAGCACTAGCAGCAGCAGCAGCAGCAGCGGCGGTAGCAGCAGCAGCAGCGGCACCGCGCGCATCGTGCGGGCAGGCGGCGCGGGGCCGGGCAGGGCGCGCGGCTGAGCCCGGGTCCTGCACCCGCGCCGAGGCCTGCACCCGGCGCTCTTGCGGCCGAGGCGGCTGCGCGGTGCTTGGCAGGAAACTGCGGCGCCCGGAAGAGCCCGCGCCGCCGCCACAAACACGTTGCACCGAGTCATTCGACGGACCGCGGCCCCACGTGGGCGGGGCAGGCCACCAGGCCGGGTTGCGGGCTGCGCTCGGCTCACCGCCCCAGTCGCCCTGAGGACCTGGCACTCCTGGAAGAAGTAGTAAGGGCCAGGCTCACTCTCCTGCAGGCTCTGGGCTGCAGTTTCCGTTTAATTTCGTCTCACAACCCCTTTAGGAGATAACTATTTTTGTTATTCTCCTTTAATAGTTGATTTAGGACCCAGAGAACCAGCCCCCAGCAACCCAGATTGTGCCAGACGGAGAACCCAAGACTCTGTGACCTGGAGGCAAACCCTCATTCTATTGATGGGGAAACCGAGATGTCTAGAGAGAAGTGGACTGCACGATGCATTGGGCATTGCCTACATTAACGCATCTCCCCAATTTCCCTGTCAAAAAGGGTTTCCTACCTCATGGCTTCAGTTATTCAGACATTTTGCACCTCGGCGTAGGAACTGGATTGGAATGTGCATTTCTGCATCCATAACTTGGCTGTGGACAGCAGCTGGGGGCTTCATAGTGTCTCCCTCCCAGGCTGAAGTTTCCAGGGAACTGCTGGGCTGCCTCTTATTTGCAAGCTAAATGATGCTTCATTGTAGGTTCTAGTGTGAGGTCCAAAAGTGGGATCCGGTGGAGGGCACAGAGAGCTTTCCGGGAGCCCCAGAAACCAAGCATACTGAGGGCTTCCAGTGTCTCCTTTCACCAGGGGGTGGATTCTAACAGAAAACTCTTCAGTGGTGGGTAAACAGGTAAAGGCTTATGACAAGAACTCAGGGACCTTAAACAGCTCCCTCCTGGACCTGACAGAGAAAGACACAAAGAAAGCAGAGTGTATTGGTAACCTATTATTGCCTAGCAAATTATCCCAAAACTCCATGGCTTAAAACAGTGCACATGTATCGTCTCTCAGCTGGTGTGCTTCAGGGTCTCTTACAAGGGTGCAATCAAGGTGCCAGCTGGGCCGGGGTCTCACCTGGAGACTAGAGTGGGGAAGGGGCTGCCCAGCCCAGCCAATACTTGCTGGCCAGATTCGGCTGTGCACAGGCTGCTGGCCTGAGAGCCTCACTTCCTCGCTGGCTGCGGGCCACAGGCTGCTCTCTGTTCCTCGCCATGCGGGTTTTTCCGACATGGCCCCTTGCCTCATTAAAAGGTGCAAATCTAGAGGGCAAAAGAGAGGCTGCTCGCAAGCCAGAAGTCTTTATCTTCTGAAGCCCAGCCACAGAAGTGACATCCCCACCCCTTGGCTATATATATTCCGTTGGTTAGAGACAAGTCACAGAGCTTGTCCACACACAGGGGGAGAGATCACACAAGGGTATGACTATCAGGGAGAGGGGTTTCTTCAGGCCATCTAAGGAGAGGGCTGCCACCGCCTGTGCTACATTTTGATTCCATGAAATGAGCACTAATCAGGTTATCAGAAGTCACCACCCAGGAAGTGCTATTTGAAATGCGCACTGGCTATTCCAGCATGCTCCAGTGGTGAGAAATCTGGACAGATCACGTTGAGTCAAGTCTCTTCCAACTCGAAAATACTCCTTCACACCCTTGCACCCTTGTAAGAGACCCTGAAGCACACCAGCTGAGAGACGATACATGTGCGCTGTTTTAAAAACGTTGCTTTAATACAGAGCCAGCATTATCATGTCATCAAATTTACTTAAAAATTCCTAATGAACCACCCCTGACGTCTATGCTTTTGCAGCACTGGCCTCTATGGCATACACCTCTGACATCCTAGTTTCATAATTTTATCCTTATCAGGAATTCTTACGTGCCTCTAAAGCAAAGAGGTGCTGGGGTTTGGGAGCCTCTCAGACAAGATGAGAGGTTTGACTGCTGAGTGGCCTTGGCCAAGGACTTAACCACCAAATTCAAGTTTGTTTGTTTGTTTGTTTTAATGTCTAAAATGAGGACAGTCATACTTAGCTCTAAAAGGTCACTGGAAGCAGTCATAGCAGGGAGAAAATATTAGTGCCCTACCCCTTCTTTTTCTGTAATTTATGGATCAGCACAGATTTGTGTTAACTATACAATATCGACTTAATATCATGAATCTAGAAAGAATAAAGGTTAGTTTTCTTAATAAAAGTAAAATTTTACAATCTTCCGTTCTTCCTATTTGCTGTGCAAATCCTCAGTGAGAAAGGACTTACAAAATACCCTAAATTAGAGTTCTTACATATTTTCATTCAACCAACCACTCACATGACATTTTTCTTTAACATGGAACATGGATGACAGGCAACAGAAACCAACTGGGGCTGATTTCAGAAAAAGAGGGTTTTATTGGAAGCATGTGGGGTTGCTCTTAGGATCAACTGTCAGGCAGATAAGAAGTTCTAAAAGTGTGGTCTGTGGGCTGCTGGGGTCCCTGAGACCCTTTTAGGGAACCAGCAAAGTCAAAATCAATTCCATAACAACACTATGTTGCTATCTGACATTTTCACTGAGTCAACATTCGCACTGATGCTACAAAAGCAGTGGTAACGAAACCAGATGGGAGCCTACCACAAATCAGGACAAGCCACACTCATAGTAACTGTATTCTTCACAACCATGAACCATAGGGGGAAAAAAGCCAGTTTCACTTTAGAATGGCATTGAACTATCTATGACATTATTTAAATCTTGACCCTTGAGAGCAGATCATTTTAATATTTTATGTGATGAAATGTTAAATATGAATAAATCACTTCTGCTGCACAATGAAGCATGATGACTGTCTCAAGAAAAAGCATGTGTGCAAACTGAACTTGCCACTTTTCTCCTGGAACCTCATTTTTAATCAGAAGAGTGCCTGACAAACCTCAGACCTGGTCTTGGGCAGGCCTCTTCTCAAAAACGCACAAGGTGAGCCTGTCACTTCAAGGATAATAACTAACAGTACTGTAGCCAACGATAAAAACTCAAACCTTCACGTGAAAATTCAAATTTTCAGACAGCTTGTCAATTCAGGTGCTTTCTGCCGTGGGCTAGACTGCTCCCCAATACTTCAAGACTTCCCTGACGCGCATGGTGGTGGTGCTAAAAAGTGTGGCGTTTGGATGTTGTGTAATGAAATAGGTTAAAATTTGGAAGAGCGTACATCAGCAAACCAATTTTTCCCAACGGCCAATGCACAATGTTACAAAATCATGGATGGGTGAAAGATCCACTCAGAGTACAAAATAAAGCAATGGATTTAGAGGCAACGTAGTACAAAAGTTCATTGGTATGGTGCTAGGTTTCAGGTTGCAACTAATTTTTAAGAAACTACTTCTTTAAAGTTTTGGTAAGACATCAATGGAGAATGCCAATCCTGTCTGAAAAGGCTCTTAAAATCTCCCTTTTCTAACTGCATATCTGGGTGAGGCTGGACTTTTCTTCATATTCTTCAACCAAAACACCAAACCACCACGGACTGAGGCAAAAACGATATCCAGCTACCTTCTAGTAAGCATGACATTGAATAGATTTGTAAAACATGTTAAGCAATGCCACTTTTCTAATTTTTTGAGAAAATATAGTTTTTAAATGTCATTGATGTTAACATGTTAATCTCTTTATTGTTTTGTTTTTAATTAAATATTTTAAAGTTGTCTCTTTAAATTTCTGGTGCAGTAAGTATAGCAATTTGGTATAACACACATAAACAAAAGCTCTTTGAAGTCCTTCTCCTTTCTTAAGACTGGAAATCAAAAGCGGCCCAAAAAGTTCCTCATACAAAAAGAAAAGTTGTTTGAAAAATTCTGAGTGTAGAGAATCAGGCTTGCAAAGAAAGAAGCAAGTCAGTTAGGATACTTTCTGCTATGGCAAACAGGAGACCCAACTTGCACTGACTTAAACGCAAAGCAAATCTCTTCTGTCAAATAAAGGAAATCCCAGACGGGGAGGGCCCAGGGTTGGTTGATTCGGCAGCAACATGATGTCCAGGACCAAGGGTCTTTCCATCTCTGCTCTGCTGCCCACAGCATTAACTTCAACCTTCGGAGGGTGGCCTCCTGGTCATGACATTGCTCAGGGGCAATCAGGGTGGCACGCCTTCTTGTCCACACACATACAGCAAGTGAGAAAGAGAAAAACCTTCTGGCATGAAATGGAAACCCACCTCTCCCTCTGACTGGTCCGCCTTGAGTGACAGCCCACCAGGGGAATGTCATGCACTGATTTCATCTGGACCTGCCTTGGAACTAGGGTTTAGGCAGCCCCCTGAAGGAAGTTAAAGGAGAGGGAAGGTTCTGTTATAGAGAGGAGAGAAAGAAGAAATGGATGTTGCACTGGCTACAATTCCCATTCGAACAGGCATGGAAAAAGGCAGCTGAATCTGGCTAGACTTCTAGAATCAAAGCCAAAATGAGACCCAGGAAAGATTCTGTCAGGAAGCTATTAACCAACAGCACTGTCCATCGGACAGATATTCTGCAGGCTCCGCCATCGCCGGTGCCTCCTCTGTCACTGGGCTGTAGATACCACGGCCTTCATCTGTCGGAAGAGTAAAGGTCTAAACTGCACCACTTCATTGAAATTCTGCCTCCAGCTGAGAAGAGAGGAAGAATTAAAGAAGGCAAAGTCAAGCCAGCCTAACTCGAGAGAGGGACCCGCCCAACAGTGTGCCTAAGTCTGAGAGGTTCCCAAGATGCAGGACCTTCCTTCTGAAGACAGGCTAGTCCCCGACAAACCAGGAGATGTGGGTCACTTTACCCAACTGCTCTGTGCTCAGGTTATGTAGCCTCAGACTCTTGTCGCTCCTCAGCCCGCGTGCACGCCTCACGCACGTGTTCCCCCACTGGTAGGCTTTCATAAGAACTAATGTTTTTGGGGTGTTCACTCA